TCAATGTGGAAAACTGCTCTTTTCTCTATAAATTGTTCCCACACAATTTCAAATATTTCCTGGAGAACGTATGTGAGCACAAGCATGATGTAAATATCTGCACGGAAATACAGACGAGGGGGGAAACAAGGCAAACACTGACAGATGACTGAAACCTCAATTTCAAGCCCAGCTGTGCCACGTGCAGCTTGTGTGACCTTGAGTAAGTCATCAAACCTCTCTGATCCCTTGGCACGCCAGTAAAATGGGGGTAGCTATTTAAACCTTGAGAGGCTGAGAGAAATAGAATCCAGTTTGCTGTGAGTTCTGTTCCGTGAGAACAGAGGGGACTTCTATTCGGAGACTTCTACTCCAGAGACTGGAACTGTGTGAAGAGAACAGAGGACTCCGGAGAAGATGGAGGAGTGTGGGTGGGGGCCAGGAAGAGAACGAAAGTGAGCAGCATATCTGGGAAGACTTGACTGCTAACGAAAAGAGCAACAACGGGCCAGGTCTCCGGCCCCGCGGCCACCAGCTCCCCACTGTCTTTGGGGTTGAGGCCCCCCTCCCTGGGCTCTCTCGCTGCTTCGGGTCGCCCTCACCGAGGCTCAGGTGCACCGCACTCCATCTGGCCTGCAAGGATGAGTGCCAGCCGTGCGCCTGACCAGGGGGCGGAGCCCGGGCAGGGAGCGCAGGGTGAGCACCGACCCTCTGCGGGCGCAGAGCTTCAGGAGGGCAGAGGGGAGGGCGCTCTTCTGGGACGAGCAGGGCGCAGCGTGTCAGGACAAATTCGCGGCCACCTGTGGACTTGAAATCGCGCGTGGCTAACCAAGGTACATACTGACTTCCTCACCGCCCAGTCTTTGTCTGCCGAGATGCCTGCTGATCTGCGCAGGCGTATGCGCATGCTCATGCGTAGCTCCCTCTAGTAAGATCTAGTGTAAGGAGCTCACCAGCTGGCTCGTTGGTCTAGGGGTATGATTCTCGGTTTGGGTCCGAGAGGTCCCGGGTTCAAATCCCGGACGAGCCCCGCTTTTCTTTAACATTTTTCTATTACTGGGTGTACCCCAGTATCCTGGAGAGAACCATTGGTAAAGCGAAAGTTCAGCGGGAGCCACCTGGACTAAAAAAAAAAAAAGTTATCTGAAAAAAAAAAAAAAAAAAAAAAAAATCACTTCTACTTCATTTCCCCAGTGTTCCTCTCAGGTAGGATTTCCAGATGGAGGGTGAATATTAACTAAGGTCTCAATATTTGTGGACTTCCTCTCAGAAGCCAGCTATTTAGAAGTAGCCTAACTCATGGGTGAAGAAAGAGGAAATACAAGCCAGCGGTGAGGCCCCAGGCATATCTTGCACTGAAGAGCTGTTTCCAGTGGGTCTTGCTGGATCTTCGTAAGGAAAACTCAAGTGGTACAGGGGAAGGATTGGTCCTCTTCTGTGTGCTTTTGCTTAAGGGTGAGGGTACCCCTTCGCGCCCCTCCCAGCCCTACCTCTCCCGGTTCCTTTCTTGCCCCGCCTTGTCCCGTCTAACGCGCTCCTGTCTGTTCCTGCCCGTTCCTGCCCGTTCCTGCCCATTCCTGCCCGGTTCTGAACCATCCTGTCTCGGTCCAGTCCCACCCTGCACGGCCTTACCCTGCCCCGCCCCGCCGCGCCCTTCCCACGCCTTGCCACGCCTTGCCTCGTCCACCCGAGAGAGCTACTGTCCTGCTCGGTCGTTTCCTACGCCTCCCCGTCCTTCCCTGACCTGGGCTGCCCGGTACTGCCTCGGCCTGTTCGGCCCTGCCGGGTCCGGCCCAGTCCTGCCTATTCTGCCCTGTTAAGTTTTGGCACGCGGTTCCACGTCCCGGGCGCCATAGCTGCTGGAGGTATTGCGCAGCCGGCTCCTGAATGTCAGTGATGGGAGAGGCGAACTGGCGTCGCCAGACCCCGGCTTGAGCCAGGCCAGATGTGCAGACTCCTGGTGCAGCTGCAGGCAGTATGGTCCAGAAAAGCGGCCTCCAGTGCGCCACTGCCCAGGGTCCCGGAAAGTGCAGCCAGTGTGGGGACTGCCCTGGTAAAGTTGGGGGTGTCGGAGGCTGCATCTTTCCGGTCTGCAGAGGTGGCCTCCATTGCAAGGCCACCAGAGGAACAGGCAACTCCAGCCAATTTCAGTTACTGTGGTTCTTTCCATGAGCTCGGGCATACCCACATGTGCCCACACACATCTTGATGTCAAGAAGGGG